GCCCCCTTCCTATTCCACAACAAGATCTCCTTCCATATTCGCTAACAACCTCTCGTTTCGAAGCTACTCCAGATGCATGGTCTCGTGACTAACCTTTCTCTCGAATTTTGGTGTCAAGCCATGAAACTTCCTTTCATTCTAGCTTGACTTCTTCTCCTTCAGCTGCTGGAGCTTCAGTCCTGATCTCTTTTCCCAATCCGAGGAACAAAGGCCTTTAGCTCATCCTATTAGATTAATTTTTTTAATCCGTAACTACAGATTTTAGTGAGTTACTAGATTGAAGCTGAAGTTAGAACTTCTAAATCAATTACAATAAAAGACTGACAAAAAGATAGAAGACCGGTAGCTTGCTTACTCTCCTAGTTAGAAGAAGGCTCTTTGGCGGATTATTTAGATCTGGATAGTCTTGCTCAAAAAAGAGAGTTGTAGATTCGTAGAAGAGGATTAGAGTACACGCGCTACAAGAAGCAGCTAACCAGTTTGACGTTAGTGGAAAGAAGATAATACTTGATTGAGTACTGATACCTCCGGGGATCCTGAGTTGCTTTGCCCCCCCCAATGTGAGAGTATGCCTTTTCAACGTACACTTGCTGCTCGCTCGCTGTCTACTAAACGAGCCCTCCTTTGATCAATAAGCCGCCTGGCCCTTATCTTTCTTCTTAACTTAAGTAAAATGGACTCAAATCAATGAAGTGAACAGCTCAACCTCTTTGTTTGAAGCTTCTACTTGCTTGTTGAAGCTTTGCTTCCCCTAATTCCAAAAAACACTAAAAAATTAGCAACTCTCGTAAAAAGCTTATCTTTGATAGCGGTCATAGGGAGGGTTCAGAAAGGATCTGATCGTAGGTAGAGATTGAAAGCAGTGCGCGGGGGTAGAGCCGGATGTAGCCAAGTGGATCAAGGCAGTGGATTGTGAATTCACCACGCGCGGGTTCAATCCCCGTTGTTCGCCCATAAATAAATGGACCATTTGTTACGGAGACACAAGACAAACCTTTCCCAGCGTCAAAGAGTTTTTTCTGCGAGAGTAAATTCATCTCGAGGCTTTCAAACGCATCCAAGAAATTGATATCCGATATGCAAAAATCTGCACCATAGATTCGCGTTGCCTACTTGCTGAAAGAGGGCACAAATGGAATGGCTGCTCACAAGTTCACAACTTCATTTCAAACTCTGGTAAGAACACAAACATCCTGGGCCGATTCTTCTTTGCTTGCCTACTCACTAATCTTGTCAAAAGGTTTTTATTAGTTAAAATATCCCTCTCCTAGTGAACTAGCAGCGGACGCATCAATAGCTGCAGACGCAGAGGAATGAATCTATAACTATAAATAATGGGAGGACTTTGCCAAGAGAAAGAGTAGTGAAAGAAGTGCGAGCAGATCTTCCTTCTTATAAAGAGCATGCACAGGACATAGAGGATCCCTTCTGGAGGCACTCTTTCAATTACAGACGTCAGCAATCACGGCCGAGTCAACAAGAGTTGATAGCTACCTAAAAGCATAACAAATACTATGAATCCTCATTTTTTTCGCCGATCTGAGGGATCACTCTATGGCAAGCAATTCTTCCCGCCCGGACCAACTGGGGTAGGAGAATGTGTAACCAACTAGTTGTACTAGATATTGATACAAATCAAATGGGAGGAAAACCCGTATGAGTACCTAATGGATATGATGTAGATATGCAAGATTCAAAAATATATAAATCATGTGATACAAGAAGTATCCATACAAAATAGGAACTTTTCAAATCAGAGCCACTTATGTGTTCAGGGCACTTGGAAGTTAAGACTAGACCTTCAAATTACTAAAATTGGTTGTTAATCCATCCAAGGCCAAAATAATTTTGACCGTCTAATCAACGTGGACATTCAGATATTTATGTCCATAATTGGATTTTTTTACTTACATCCATATAAATATCTCTATCTGACAAGATATGGATATCCAGTATTGGTACTCGGATCTTGTCAAATGTATATGCATATATACCCACAAATATTCATATTCGTCTATATCTCTAGGTGCAACTTCTCAAATTTCATGAAATTATTGCCTCAAATTATTCATCTATAGCCCTAAGTGTGACTCCTCAAATATAATAAACATTATGATATTATATTGGTCGAGTATATAATTTTCCTTATTAATAGTACAGTGTGATTGATTTACCAAGGGAAACTACATTTGGATCTTAGCTGCTTGTAGCATAAAATTGTTAAGTTTCCATCATGTTGCTTCTTGTTCTACCCTATCACAGATTACTTGAGTACCAAGCAGACGTTTAGAGAATCTATATTGAGGAGCAATAATCCAAAGTACGCTTATTATAAACTGTAGAATCTGACGTTAATCAAGGTTTTAAATATCGATTATTGGGGATTTATCAGATGGCCAAAATTCTTGTCGGATAGCAAAAATTAAGGATATATCGGGGATAAGTAGTATTTATTGGAGTGATATACCAAAAGTTTAATATAACACTCTAAAATATAATCTAAACATACCTAATGAAATACCAAAATGTAAATAATCATGTTTAGAATCACTAACCAATTGTAGAAAGTAAAATTTGCTTTTTGATCGCATAATGAAACCAATAATTTGGCCCGATAAGTCCGATTTTTAGAGCCGCTAATATCGGCCGATAAGTACCTTTATTGCCGCATTATCGTCGATAAACCCCCAAAACGATAACCGATTTAAAATCCAAATTATTCTAGCGAAAAGCTCCCAAAACCGATAACTCGGCGATAATATCGGATTATCGACCGATATTTAAAACCTTAACAGTAATACATGAGCGTATGATTCCTTTTACTTACTAAATAGAACAACATGCCACAAGTATCTCTAACATTCACCAACTAACAGACAACACTGATCATCCAACCTCGAAAAAATTAGATGAACTTGGGGCTACTACTGAACATGGATTCATTAGAGAATGCTCCAAAAAACACTTGCATGATAAACAAATTTTTATTATCTTCTGTCAGCTTGTTGTCAAACTTTGTAAGTAGTAACAAATTCATGGTCGGAGAATTACCTGAATCAAGGTTTTAAATGTCGGTTATCGGGGATTTATCGGACGGTCAAAATTCTTATCGGATAGCGAAAATCAGGGATATATCGGGGATAAATAGTATTTATCGGAGTAATATACTAGCAAATAATAAACAAACATAAGCTTGAAAAATAATATAATGTTAGTCAAAATGGAATAATAAACTAGCAAATAATAAGATAACATCAAGAATGAAGAACCGTTTACGCATCTACATAATTATTGTTTAATCATGAGATTCATAAACTAACTTACTAAGTTAATATTTAGTAGTTATGAGCCATTATCAATATCCATAAACAAACATAAGTTAATCACCAATCAACCAAGTTCCAAAAGCAACAAATAGTTTATAATTTGTAAACATTCAAAGAGCAAATCCAAAAGAAAGTAAAATCTCCCAAATCTTACTTATCGGCTGATAAAGCCGATATTTAGAGCCTACTTATCGACCGATAAGTACCTTTATCGCCGATAACTCGCCGATAAACCTCAAAAAACGATAACTGATTAAAAATTCTACTTATCCTAGCGGAAAGCTCCCAAATTCGATAACTCGGCGATAATATCGGATTATCGGCCGATATTTAAAACCATGACCTGAATAAAGTTTTCCTTGCCTTGAAACTTGGAATGCTAGTGGTATAGAGTAGTAGAACTCTCCAAAAATAGAGTACACTAGACAAATTTTCAGGAAAAGTGAAACATAATGATTATTGCAAAAAAACTCGGCTTTCTATCTTTTCATTCTTGACTTTTGAGGAAAAAAATGATCAGTGAATAACTTGGATAGGGCAGTGAACAGGGCAACTTTGATGTTTATACTTTCTTTTTTGACGTCTATTAAGGCATAGAGATTTGTTGCTTTGAGAAGAGAAAAACCTTATGCTAACCTTACCTTCTTGACAACGTTTTAAATATCGGTTATTAGAAATATATTAGATGACTAAAATTCATATCAGGATATATCGGAGATAAGTAGTAAAAAATCGTAGTGTTACATCGGATGGTGAGCATATAATATAATATCTTAAAATATAATCTAAGCACATTTAATGAAAAATAAAAATATACTAATATTCAAATAACACATGTTTAGGATCACTTACCAATTGTTTTTGTTTAGTGGATGCGAAATTGAATAGAATAACATTGTAGAAAAGAGGGTTTTTATCTCCAAACCCGAACCAGTTCACTTAGAATGTAAATTGTAGAAAATCGGGCGATTTTAGCCCACGAGAAATCGGCAGCTTTATCGGATTTACACCGATATAGCGGCAAAAATCCCAAAACGATATGCAATATATTTTTGCAAAAATCATATCTGCTATAGCCCAATCCCTATATATCGGTGATAAATCGATAAAAATCGGCCTATTTTAAAAGCACTGCTTCTTGGTAATCACTCATGGAACATGAACCAGGGAGCAACTTCGAACTCTTTTCTTGCCAAAACTAAGATCTTGTGGTAAAGTATTGAGTGTAACAGTTTTATTACCTATGCACATTTATGGTTTCATTAGGTGTTCTAGTACTTGACATGTTTTGCTACTTAATTCTATATCATCTTCGAGGAGTTGCTCTTGAAAGTTCAGAAAATCTGTCCTATTTATCATGTTTCAATTTTTATTTTTATTTTTTTATTTTTTGGTTCCAGGATTGGGTCGTATTGCTGGATTAGTAACTCTAGAAGCAGATGACAGCAATGTATCTCTGGATGCACTTCAACGGGTTGGTTCCTCAATAGCAATGCACATAGTGGCAGCAAAACCACTGTTCTTGTCAAAGGATCTTGTCCCTTCTGAAGCAATTGAGAGTGAGCGTGAAATTCTCAAAACTCTGGTAATCTAGTTACATGTGTTCTGTTGCATTTTTACGGTAGTTTAGTTGATTCTTGAATTCTTAAATTCTACAAGTTACTCTTTTGTGTTCTGTTGCATTTTTACGGTAGTTTAGTTGATTCTTGAATTCTTAAATTCTACAAGTTACTCTTTTTAAATCTGCAGTGTGCACTGTTAAGTGATAGAAACCAAATGAGACCTGTAATTTTCTCTCCTTATCCATTTTACACATTCTCTTAGCTAAGAACTTAATTATGGAATTCTTAAAATCTACATCTTGGCTTGGGATTCTTGATTATCCTACCACAAACTGTTACTGATTAAGATTGGTAAAAGGAAATTTTGTTGTTTCACACAGCTAAGCAACTGGGCCATTTTTCGGAGAAGCTGCGTACTTGTTTCTTATTTTGAATGCTCATATTTTTCATTGTCCCTGATCATATATGATACTAAAATAGCGACATTTGATTTTTCAGTTAGTGTTTTTAGCGTACAACAGAGCTGAAATTGAATAATTCCTCTGTGCACTGTTTCATGTGTCCTTGTTAGTAGTTCATGGTCGATAGCTTTTACTCATTTTGGCTTGATAGAACTTTGGAAACCATACAAAGTTATGTTTACTTTTATTAAAATATCGGAAGTCATTGCAGAGCATTGCAGATATGCATTGTACATAATATGGTTGATTATATTTGCTGCCTCAAGCTTCTCCAAGTATTCACTATTAGTGCTTATCACTTCTTGTATTACAGAAGCTTGGTTTACTTTGTGTTTTGATGTGAATGTGTGAGAATAAGAATAAGTGAGATAAAAGGTTGCGTTCATAATATGGGGGGATTTAAAATCTACTTAATCTATTCTACAGTACAGTGCAGACTGGCACATGCTTTTTAATCTCAATAGGAGGGTCATTGGAAATATTATCATATGTTAAAATGGTATATAGATGAAACAAAGAAGAGTGAGTTTTTTTTGATTTTCCTGGGCCCTAAACCTATTGCTGAAAATGTCTATAAATTTTTCGATACTAGTTACAGGGCTCTTGTTTTTTTGCTAATCACTTATTATAATCAATTCTTGTTAATCAATGAAGTTTGGTTGACTTTGTGTTTTGATGATGTGAAAAATAAGAGTAAATGAGATAAAAGGTTATGTTCATAATATGGGGGTCTCTGAGATCTATTTAATCTATCGTAGAGCATGTTGTAGACTGCCATGTATTTTTAACACCTCAATAGGAGTGTCACTTGAAATATTATCATATTTTAAAATGATATACATGAAACAAAGAAGAGAGCTTAATTTATTTTCCTAGGCCGTAAACCTATGCTGAAAATTTCTAGAAATTTTTTATGCTAATTACATGGTTCTTGTTTTGTTGTAGAACTTTGGTTTTTAGAGTTGTTTTGGTCACCTTCTGTAACTTATAATTACTGTGTTCAGCAAAGGTGATTCTTTAGTTTTTTTAGAATGATTTAGATGGGCTTCTAGTTATCCAAAAGCAGCAGAAACTTCAGTTAAGCGGCTGCTTTGGCAGATCTAGAAAGGCAGGTGGTTCTAGGTGCTAGATGCCTGCCTAGCAGCTGTTAAGTGTTAGGTATCCTCGCAGGCACAGATCACCACCTAGTGTATTTAAGACACTGCATTCTTTGTAGCAGGCAATAAGCTGAAAATCCTGCTATGGTGGTCATGTATTTAGCACCAAGTATTGAGAAAGAGAACTTTTATTCACAATGCTTAACACTTATTTATATTTGAAAGGAATTCTATATTTGTCTGCAACTTTTATGTGCTATAGTATCGATGTTCCAGTTTTAGTTTCCCTGACTTCTGTTTTCCACATCAGGCAGAAAGCTCAAAGAAACCCCAAATAGCCATTCAGAAGATGGTGGAAGGTCGTTTAAGGAAATATTTTGAAGACGTTGTATTGCTTGAGCAGAAGTTTGTTATGAATGATGGTGTCAATATCCAGGTATTGCATGCATGATATTGAAATGTTTTTAGTTTTCTGTTATTCTAGTATTATATTGTTTTCCAATAATTACTATCATGAGGTTAATATTTTTGGTTCAATCCCGTTTGTTATGAACAATGGTGTCAATATCCAGGTATTGCATGCATGATATTGAAATGTTTTTAGTTTTCTGTTATTCTAGTATTATATTGTTTTCCAATAATTACTATCTTGAGGTTAATATTTTTGGTTCAATCCCAATATGAATCCTCATGACATTATTCGCTTGTCATTATTCATTTTTCAGATTTTTTTTGACAGTCCTATTTTAACTTTATCATCGTCATGACAATCTTGCAGTCTCTCCTAAAGGAATTATCAAAAGAAGTGGGCTCATCTGTTAGGATTGGCAATTTTCTCAGAGTGGAAGTTGGAGAAGGAATTCAGAGGTAAGCATTTTGATTCGGTGAAATCATTATTTCATATATCCTTAGAAGTAAACGGATTATGATGTTACTGTTAAAACCTGTACAAGTTTATATGTAACAATTTCAAAAGATTCTTTAGGATTTGTTTGGCAATTCCAAAATAAGATGGGGGCCTGAACTAGTTTTTGCTTAACTAGGCTAGAGTAGTCCAAAAGAAAACCAGTTTAGAGGCTAGAATTTGAATTATAGAAAACAAGTTTGATTTTGGTCGAATTATTGCCAAACTAAATACTAGCTTTTGTTCCAAGACTGTACCCACTGAAGCTAGTTTTGTAGAGTTACCAAACACACCCTTAGGTTCTAGTTTCCCCTTTGTCGTGTTTATTCACAAAAGAAAATGACCAATTGGATAAAATATTTTAGGGAAAATTGCATTGGGGACAATGGGAATGGGAATCCAATCAAAAAAGCTTTTGATTTTTTTGGGCAATCATAAGACCCCATGGACCCAAAGAAGTATGCATCCAACCCTCTAGTCCATGTGCCCTTCTTAAGAATCCCAAAAATACGTTCTTTTTCTTCAGTCTTTTCCCCCCTCATTTCCCCCTTTTCATGTCTTCCATGCACCCATGAACCTCTCTCATCTTCAACCTCTATTATCTCTCCCCTCTCACATTTTCTCTCCTTTTTCATTTTGTTCTCTCCCCCTTTTTTTCCATATTTTTCCTTCTCATTTCTTCCGTAGTCCATGAACCTCATTCATCTTCAACCTCGCTCATCTCTCCCCTTCTCCCTTATCTTCTCTCCTTGTTCATGGTGTCTTTTTCTCCGTTATTGCTTCTTTTCCAATATCGCCGCCACCTCCCCTCCACTAGCCTTCCTCCTCTTTCTATGTATTCCTATCCTTTGTCTATCCTCCTCTACTGTGATCTCTCCTCCTCGTCCGTCTATCCTTCTGTCATGCTTCTCTGTCTTCTTCATCATCTATCCTCATTCTCCTATGTCTCATGTTTTTCCTTCGGCGCCTCTCCTTCTCTCCTCTCTTTCTTATTCTTCGTTTGTCTTTCTCTTCCTTCTTTCCCTTTCCTCTCTTTGCCGCCTCTCCGCCTAAGCACCCTCTCTTCTCTTTACCCCTCTTTCTAGGTTTTCATCGTCTTTCTACATCATATCCACATCCCACTTATGAACGTATATGAAATTTTATCGTATAGTCTGCAAGAAATTTAAAAAGGTAACATCTTAATCAACATATGTAATAATATTATGAACATAGGTAATCTTTTATGAATATGTGTGAACAAATATAATAACTTATGAATAAAATGATATTTTAAATGCTAGACTTGGGAAAAATGTGAACAATAACAGTTTAATCAATAAAGATAACAATTTTATAAACAACAGTAATAGTTTAAAAGATAAAGATAATATGTTATGTACAACAATGACATGTTTATGAACAATGTTAACATATCATGTAAATAAAATAACAATTCTATAAAAAAATTAATAAAATTTCATAGCATAGATTTGAGAATGTAAAATGTAACAATTTAATAAACAAATACAACAATTTTATGAACTTAAGTGGCATTTTTTGAATAAAACGTAAAAGATAATAACTCTCACTTTTATCCTCCTTTTCTCTACAAATGCATCTCTTCACCGTTTCTCTCTTCTCTTTCTTCCTCTTGTTTCCTCTTGATAGCTTTATGAATAAAAATACTAAAGATGACAACTTTCTTTTTTTTGTCCTCCTTAATCGTAGTTTTTTATCATTGCAAATCATGGGCATTAAATATCTTATTATTTTTTATTTTTTAAAAAAATTTAGCAATAAATTATAAATCTTGATATTAATAGTCTATAAAATAAAAAATAATGAAGGTAGGGTCGAAGAAGGAGAGGCGGCAGAGTGAAGAAATTGGCCGGAAGAGAATAGAACATATAGAAGAAGGAAGAGATTTGAGAAAGGATGAGCAAGTGGATGAGAAGTGGATAAAAGAAGGAAGAGAGTAGGAAGAGGCAGGAGGGAGGAGGAAAGATCAAGATGGAGGAGGATAAATGATAGAGAAGAAGAAAAATATGGAGGAGGGCGGAGAAGGAAAGAGAATGGTATTGTGAGAGGCAACGACAGAAGATGAGAGAGAAGAGAGATGAGGGGGGTTGAATGTGAGAGAGTAGGAGTGACATGAGAGATTCAGATGAAAGGGAAGGAAAGAGAACGAGAGAGGTTGAAGATGGGGGGGAGGAGGGAGATGAGAGGGATTCAAGGGTTCATGGAGAAATGAGAGAAAAAGAAGGGAAAAGAAGAGAAGAAGTGAAAAGAAAATAAATTTTTGCTATTCTTAAAAGGTCACATGGGCTGAAGAGTTGGATAAATGGTCTTTGGATCTAAAAATTCTTATGATTGCCCAAAAAAGTCAAAAGGCTATTTTGAATGAATTCCTACTACTATGGTCCCCGATGCAATTTTTTCAATATTTTTTTTTTTTGAGAGAAAAACAAGGGATGATCCCTGTTCATAATATAAAAGATAAGAACAGTATTAGATACAAAAGACGGACACGAAATGTATCCTGTAGTTAGTAGATAGAAAATATAATTCAGCGTAATAGGGACGTATGACTTTCTTCTTTCAAACATCCATGAAGATGAGGAGTGGGCCTTGCCGTCACTCATCGTTGACACAGATACATACCAAACATCTATAAATTACTGTCCAGAAAAGTGTCAAGGAATAAGAAATTTTATTAAACCAAATATAGAATTACAAAGCATACTCAGGCATACCTAAGTTTAATATAACTTCCAACCATCACAACTTGACAAAACTCACAAAACTACTCAATCTGGCCAAATTCCCATACAAATTCATATAATATTTCTCTACAAACTCTCCACCCAAAGCTTGCAATGATTGGGCAAACGGCAATGATCTAGGCCGTAAACCTATGCTGAAAATTTCTAGAAATTTTTTATGCTAATTACATGGTTCTTGTTTTGTTGTAGAACTTTGGTTTTTAGAGTTGTTTTGGTCACCTTCTGTAACTTATAATTACTGTGTTCAGCAAAGGTGATTCTTTAGTTTTTTTAGAATGATTTAGATGGGCTTCTAGTTATCCAAAAGCAGCAGAAACTTCAGTTAAGCGGCTGCTTTGGCAGATCTAGAAAGGCAGGTGGTTCTAGGTGCTAGATGCCTGCCTAGCAGCTGTTAAGTGTTAGGTATCCTCGCAGGCACAGATCACCACCTAGTGTATTTAAGACACTGCATTCTTTGTAGCAGGCAATAAGCTGAAAATCCTGCTATGGTGGTCATGTATTTAGCACCAAGTATTGAGAAAGAGAACTTTTATTCACAATGCTTAACACTTATTTATATTTGAAAGGAATTCTATATTTGTCTGCAACTTTTATGTGCTATAGTATCGATGTTCCAGTTTTAGTTTCCCTGACTTCTGTTTTCCACATCAGGCAGAAAGCTCAAAGAAACCCCAAATAGCCATTCAGAAGATGGTGGAAGGTCGTTTAAGGAAATATTTTGAAGACGTTGTATTGCTTGAGCAGAAGTTTGTTATGAATGATGGTGTCAATATCCAGGTATTGCATGCATGATATTGAAATGTTTTTAGTTTTCTGTTATTCTAGTATTATATTGTTTTCCAATAATTACTATCATGAGGTTAATATTTTTGGTTCAATCCCGTTTGTTATGAACAATGGTGTCAATATCCAGGTATTGCATGCATGATATTGAAATGTTTTTAGTTTTCTGTTATTCTAGTATTAATGGTGTCAATATCCAGGTATTGCATGCATGATATTGAAATGTTTTTAGTTTTCTGTTATTCTAGTATTATATTGTTTTCCAATAATTACTATCTTGCATGATATTGAAATGTTTTTAGTTTTCTGTTATTCTAGTATTATATTGTTTTCCAATAATTACTATCTTGAGGTTAATATTTTTGGTTCAATCCCAATATGAATCCTCATGACATTATTCGCTTGTCATTATTCATTTTTCAGATTTTTTTTGACAGTCCTATTTTAACTTTATCATCGTCATGACAATCTTGCAGTCTCTCCTAAAGGAATTATCAAAAGAAGTGGGCTCATCTGTTAGGATTGGCAATTTTCTCAGAGTGGAAGTTGGAGAAGGAATTCAGAGGTAAGCATTTTGATTCGGTGAAATCATTATTTCATATATCCTTAGAAGTAAACGGATTATGATGTTACTGTTAAAACCTGTACAAGTTTATATGTAACAATTTCAAAAGATTCTTTAGGATTTGTTTGGCAATTCCAAAATAAGATGGGGGCCTGAACTAGTTTTTGCTTAACTAGGCTAGAGTAGTCCAAAAGAAAACCAGTTTAGAGGCTAGAATTTGAATTATAGAAAACAAGTTTGATTTTGGTCGAATTATTGCCAAACTAAATACTAGCTTTTGTTCCAAGACTGTACCCACTGAAGCTAGTTTTGTAGAGTTACCAAACACACCCTTAGGTTCTAGTTTCCCCTTTGTCGTGTTTATTCACAAAAGAAAATGACCAATTGGATAAAATATTTTAGGGAAAATTGCATTGGGGACAATGGGAATGGGAATCCAATCAAAAAAGCTTTTGATTTTTTTGGGCAATCATAAGACCCCATGGACCCAAAGAAGTATGCATCCAACCCTCTAGTCCATGTGCCCTTCTTAAGAATCCCAAAAATACGTTCTTTTTCTTCAGTCTTTTCCCCCCTCATTTCCCCCTTTTCATGTCTTCCATGCACCCATGAACCTCTCTCATCTTCAACCTCTATTATCTCTCCCCTCTCACATTTTCTCTCCTTTTTCATTTTGTTCTCTCCCCCTTTTTTTCCATATTTTTCCTTCTCATTTCTTCCGTAGTCCATGAACCTCATTCATCTTCAACCTCGCTCATCTCTCCCCTTCTCCCTTATCTTCTCTCCTTGTTCATGGTGTCTTTTTCTCCGTTATTGCTTCTTTTCCAATATCGCCGCCACCTCCCCTCCACTAGCCTTCCTCCTCTTTCTATGTATTCCTATCCTTTGTCTATCCTCCTCTACTGTGATCTCTCCTCCTCGTCCGTCTATCCTTCTGTCATGCTTCTCTGTCTTCTTCATCATCTATCCTCATTCTCCTATGTCTCATGTTTTTCCTTCGGCGCCTCTCCTTCTCTCCTCTCTTTCTTATTCTTCGTTTGTCTTTCTCTTCCTTCTTTCCCTTTCCTCTCTTTGCCGCCTCTCCGCCTAAGCACCCTCTCTTCTCTTTACCCCTCTTTCTAGGTTTTCATCGTCTTTCTACATCATATCCACATCCCACTTATGAACGTATATGAAATTTTATCGTATAGTCTGCAAGAAATTTAAAAAGGTAACATCTTAATCAATATATGTAATAATATTATGAACATAGGTAATCGTTTATGAATATGTGTGAACAAATATAATAACTTATGAATAAAATGATATTTTAAATGTTAGACTTATGAAAAATGTGAACAATAACAGTTTAATCAATAAAGATAACAGTTTTATGAACAACAGTAATAGTTTAAAAAATAAAGATAACATGTTATGTACAACAGTGACATGTTTATGAACAATGTTAACATATCATGTACATAAAATAACAATTATATAAAAAAATTAATCAATTTCATAGCATAGATTTGAGAATGTAAAATGTAACAATTTAATAAACAAATACAACAGTTTTATGAACTTAAGTGGCATTTTTTTGAATAAAGCGTAAAAGATAATAACTCTCTTTTATCCTCCTTTCGCTACAAATACATCTCTTCACCATTAATCTCTTCTCTTTCTTCCTCTCGTTGCCTCTTGATAGTTTTATGAATAAAAATACTAAAGATGACAACTCTCTTTTTTTTGTCCTCCTCAATCGTAGTTTTTTATTATTGCATATCATGGGCATTAAATATCTTATTATTTTTTATTTTTTAACAAATTCAGCAATAAATTATAAATCTTGATATTAATAGTCTATAAAATAAAAAATAATGTAGGTAGGGTCGAAGAAGGGGAGGCGGCAGAGTGAAGAAAGTGGCCGGAGGAGAATAGAACATATAGAAGAAGGAAGAGATGTGAGAAAGGATGAGCAAGTGGAGGAGAAGTGGACAAAAGGAGGAAGAGAGTAGGAAGAGGTGGGAGGGAGGAGGAAAGATCATGGAGGAGGATAAATGACGGAGAAGAAGAAAGATATGGAGGAGGGTAGAGGAGGAAAGACAATGATATTGAGAGAGGCAACGACAGAAGAGAGAGAAGTGAGAAAAGAGAGATGAGGGGGGTTGAAGGTGAGAGAGTAGGAGAGAGATGAGAGATTCAGATGAAAGGGGAGGAAAGAGAATGAGAGATGTTGAAGATGAGGGGGAGGAGGGAGATGAGAGGGATTCAATGGATCATGGAGAAATGAGAGAAAAAGAAGGGAAAAGAAGAGACGAAGTGAAAAGAAAATGAATTTTTGCTATCCTTAAAAGGTCACATGGGCTGAAGAGTTGGATAAATGGTCTTTGGATCCAAAAGGTCTTATGATTGCCCAAAAAAGTCGAAGGCTATTTTGAATGAATGCCTACTACTATGGTCTCGGATGCAATTTTTTCAATATTTTAATATGTTGGACCATTCAAAACTAATTTAAGAAACTAACTGAATCAGATGAATTGATAATTGTGATTAAGAAACTAGTATAAATTTAGTTCACATATTCTTGAGAACTAAAAATTCATAATGTTATCATTAGATCCTATATGAGTTTCAAACCTTTGAAGTTTAGATTTTGGAGTTGTTTTTTCCTCTCCTCTTCATTGTTCTTTATTCACCAAAAACGTAGGAACAACTGGATAAAAAAATTCTAACATACACTATACAAAACTAACTTTAAAAAACTAGAGAATTATATGGTCATTGGTTAATTGTGATGGAATTGGTAGTCTGGTGAAGAAAGGAAAAGTAAACTTATTTATCTGTTCGAGATTGTTAGTTTAGTTTCTCATATTTTGAGAACTAAAGATATTATGAATTTTGGAAGAAAGTGTAGCACCTGTGAAGGGTTGAGTTCGAATAGGCCCAGATTCAGATGTACTATAGCATAAGAATGGTGTGAAATAGAGTGGACGGGTGATGTCTGCATAGGCTCGAATAAAAACTACAACTATTTGGTCAATTAATTTAGCTTCAACGACCCACAATAGCCATACAAAAGGAGGCAATTTGGAGCCAGATTAGTATATGGATTCACTATGTTTTTAGCTTCAACAGCAACAACTACTACACAAGAAAGCCTCCCAAATATTCTACCACGTGAATCATATTCTTACGTTCGCTTCTATTTAGGGCTATCTCTATAAAATTATTTTAGGGCTATCTCTATTAAATTTTCTTAGTTACTTTCAATCCAGTTCTATTAGACCATCTCTAGGCCTTGGCCCCATTAATTGTAACCTTATCACTCTTCTAATCTGATAGCATCCGTTGCACATGACCAACTATCTCAACTGATTCTCACTCATTCTATCATCAATATGAGCAACTTCTAACTTACTACGAGTGTATTCATTTCTTCTTCTATCTCTTAATTTATATTCACACACCCATAACATTCACATTTTAGTTGTTAATTTTTATGAATTTCTTAATTCATAATAGTCTAATCCATAAATCATTGTCGGTCTTATGTCTTAATTCTGCGATCGCATTGAATTCTAGAAGCGCTCTAAACTTTCAACCAACTTGATTTGATTTGATTAAAGTATATCATCCCCAATTTTGACATCTTGATAAATGATTGATCTTAAATAGCAATAGTGGTGAATTGCTTGACCGTCCCTACATATTATATAGTCGATGCTTTTCATAGTTCTATTGTAATTACATGCCATGTATTATGCTTTTAGTTTCAACTCTATATTGTTCACTGAACATTCTCCTCATTTTCTAGAAATCACCTCCAAAGTATTTTACCCTATTTGCTTTTCTCCCGGTACTTGAAATATTTCTTGCTACAATATTCACCAAGGAAAAATCTTTGCGAGTAGTTGCTAAATTTGTGCAACTAGCAAACTTGTGTGCAGGGACGAGTGCAGAGTTGCTCAGCTAGGAAGGGGGAAGGGGCGACTTTCAAGAATGAGCAACTAAAATCAAGATTGTTATCAAATTTATTGATTTTTAAAAAAAGACCGCCCTTCGCAAATTTGACTCAAAACTTATACATAAGCTATGCATTTACAAAATACCTAAAACTAGTTATGAATTGATCAATTACTCAAAAATTATTTGTTCTATTCAATATTTATCAAAATTGCATTCAAATCTTGAAATCTCATAACTGATAGAAAGATATAAATCCTTAAAACTACTTAAATTTTAAGACAGAAGTTTTCTAAAATATCTTGTGCTACAAAGTAAAAGCCTAATTTTTGAGACACAAAATCGAAATACTCAATCAAGAAACATTCTATAAACGATGCCAAATAATTCTGAAAAATAGAGAATTGAACCTTAAATACCTCGAGGGTCTAGCTGGTGGAGTTTGGCGAGGTCGAAAATAGAAAACTAAAGTGTAGTCTGCGATTAGAGTGCAAAGAAACTTCTATTTTCTCAAGTTGTATTCTCTATATTCGTAGGAGGCTCCATTTTTAGCGAGTTGTAAAGGGGGAGAAAACCTAGTTCTATTGAAGGAAACAATAGAAGGAATAATAATCTCCAGAGTAAAGATTGTCTTCGAACATGAAATTAAACATTTAATTGGGTTTAGAGTTTACCTTTTGAATTGGGCTTGGAGTTTATTTTTAGTTGGGCTTTACGGATAATTGGGTACTATTGAATTGGGCTTGAGGCTTATATTTAATTGTGCTTGGGTTGAGGGGGTTATTTTTATTTGTGCTTAGGGGGTTATTTTTTTACTATCACTAAGTATACCAATGTTAAAAATTCAAAAAGTCTGGAGGGCAATCGCCTCTGGTGGCCTCCCTTAGACTCGTTCTTGTTTGCGTGATTACTTAATAACACAATGTTATTCCTAAGTAAGATTATAAAAACATGGGTGTAAGATTGCTTCTTCCATGTACTGTTGTATTTTTGTAACAACTCTTTACACATATGGAGGCGAAGCCCGGAAGGTATACAAGCATATAAAAATTGAGCAC